CCACACTCCGTTCAGGTGCACGCCCACAGCGCGCAAGGCCGCGGTTGCATCCCCTACCTACCTACCTACCTGCCTGCCTGCCTGCCTACCTACCCACCTACCTACCTACTTACCTACCTACCTACCTACCGACCGACCGACCGACCGACCTACCTACCTACCTACCTACCTACCTACCGACCGACCGACCTACCTACCTACCCACCTAGGGAGACCTACCCATACTCTGCCTCCCTACCTGCTGCCTGCCTTACTATTATAGCTACCTACTGCTGCCACTACAGCCATTGCTGCTGCTTTTTCTTATACGTTTTAGGAGGTTACGAGAGTACATCTAACGTGCTGCTAACAAGCAGCCTTTCATAAGGTCAAACACAGGACCGACAATGAACACAACGGGGGCAAAACGAGATCCCCATATACTTCATGTTCATCATGGCCGTCATTCTTCAGCATCGTTCTCGTCCACGCGATTTGCAGCAGGATGCCTCGGCTGCCGTGCAACCTGCGCCACACCCTCGGAACCGCAGAGACACCTGGTTGCTGGTCGGCAGCAGGTGGTATTGCGGCAGTTCCTTACAGAGCTTTTACAGCGAGGGAGGTCTCCAGAACGGACAGTTTCGGGTTCAGGATTCTATTAGGGTCACTGAGCATGAGCGGGATCAGTTTAACAGTCGAAGCCGTGATGCGTGGGTTTTCATGGTGCGCGAGAGCAGTTGAAAAGTGTTAAAACGCGTGCGTTCTTTAGGTCAGGAATTCCGCAGACGGGGCCTTCATGTACTGCCAAAAGCCTGTTCACATGTCTTCAGGCAAGAGCTGTGGTCTTTTGTGGGGCACTGCTTGCTGCACTGTCCAGCATTCTCTGCTGTGCTGAAATCGTTCCGAACAACAACGGTATGTGATGATACGGATTTGAGGCATGCCCCAGACCAGCATGACAGCGGCATCAACGAGCAGCTTCTGGCCATCAACAAGGCTTTGGAAGCCTTTGCACTGAGGTCGCTCAAGTTTCTTTCATGCGCAATTCCCGTTTAAGTGCCCTGGGTCTGGATCCTGCAGGAGATCGTCTGCATTGTGGTGGGTTACCCTCAATATGTACTTGCCGACGAACTAGCCATGGGCGTGCACCCTGAAGAGGTGCTTCACAGCGAGCTACTGCGGCAGCGTCTGCGAGCAGATTCTTTCGAAAAGTGCAGTCGGTGGCGTCTTTCCTTCAGCTGTGACAAGGCACGTCTGCGGAAATCCGAGTCCTAAACGAGGGATCACGAGTCAACAGACCAGAAGATGGAGCAGCATCGCTTGGCTGCTCGTGATCAACTACCGATGCCACTTCTTCAATGCAGCGGCAGCCAAGCTGTAGCAAACTGCTGCTCACGATGATCGCAAAAGACGGTCTTCACTGAAAGCACAATGATCGCGGTGACCAGCATCGTGTGGATGTCATGTCACAGCGGGTTGGGTTGAGAGTCGATCGAGTAGTCACGGCTCGCCCCTTGAAGTCCCGCGGGTTCAGCTTTTGCGATTCAGAGTCGCAGGGGTCTCGGGCTATTCCGGCTAGCATCAGAGACCTGGATGCAGGAAGGATGCCGGGCAGCGGTACGCGGCTTTCTGGAGATCAAGCATATTCCGGCAAGTAAACATACGGGGCTTCCCGCTTTAGGCTCTCTTCCTGCAGGGGGCTTTCCTCCCTGCTGCTCGGCAGGAGAAGCTCTCGTCAGCCTTTGACCGTCTTCTGGAGCTGAGTATTGCGCACGCGCTCCCTGACATGTTAAACTGATGGCAGAACAGACGGGGGGTAAGAAACATGTCGGCACTTAAGCAGCAGTGCTT